TACACATTTGTGTAACTTTCTACCTGTCTTGAATGTACGACAATTATTTGCCATCCCTTTTTAATTACCCTAATTGAAAAATGCACCTGTTTTTAAAATTTCAGATGTTTCATGTCAACTGATGGTGCTGTTGGAGTGATATCATCTCAGGAAGACTTTGTTTATGTTGGGGAGTTTTTGTTCAAGCCTACTTTTCATGCACTGAAACACTGACGGATCACAAAAAAAAAAGAATTTAAATGGAAGACAGCCAAGTATCCACATACATAGCTGCAACATTACGTTTTTTTCCAAGATGACATCACACTTTTGCACGTAGATACGCAAATTAACATAATCATAAAAATAAACACGGCACGAAAATGCCCTTAAATCGTCAAATAAAATTTGAAAATACGCTTAAATGGGACGCTAAGATGAACTCATTAGTGCATAATAAAAATCACACTGTACATGAATGGACCCTGTGCTATAGTCTCCAAACATGATTACATTATAAAAATTACACTGCATGGACCCTTTAAAATCAAACTGTTTCAGTGGAACTCTGCCTGAGTCTCCAGAATGTGAAATCTTCCTACTTTTGTTTGTCCAGTTCAGCGTTGATGGCTGTCAGTAGTTTGACCCCTGTCTCAGCCGCCTCACACCACTTCAACATGTTCTCCTTCTGACTGCTCAGTTCCTGTAACCTCTGACCTTTCTCTTCTGTGGCCTTCTTGCCTGCGGCGATGGCGTTGTGCATGCGCGCCATGTCCGTCTTGATACGCTCTGGTGACTGGATGATCTGGGGGCGGAGCTTGTCGCAGGCCTCACGGGCATTGAGGGTGTTGACCTTCAGTTGCTCCTGCAGAAAAGAGAATGCAATAAACAGTCTTCTGTTCACCGAGTGTCACTGTGGCTGCGGCTAGAGGCAAGGCCAGGATTTCAGAAATAGACAGGTACCTGGCTGTTCAATTCACATATGCCACCATCACCCATGTATGTTGAGTCAAGAGGCCAGTTGTATTAAGTTAACTCTTTAACTTGATAGTTAGCTGAACCATGTCAGAAGAGGCAGTTTTGCAGCAGAAGCTTAGTTTTTACGTAGGTCCACGAGAGTAACATTCCATAGCCTGAGACAAAAAGTGCATGATTTGGGGACAGTCAAAGCATTGAAATTGGCCAATCTATCAGATAGTTGCATCACTGGTTGCTAATGTTACATGCAATGCTATGCGCGTGGGAGCTAGGTATCACAGGGAGGTTTGAAAACTTTTTGGACAGTGATTCAAATAAATTACCATAATCTCAAGACAGGAAAAAAAAAGGAACAGAAACGCATTCATGCTTGGATTTTTTGAGCAGAAAAGACCTAAATAGTATTAATGAAAATCACACTGACTACCGTACTGCAGTGCACAAAGAGTCCACACACAACAGCTGAAAATTGATTCTGCTGCACCATTTTTAGTCCAAGCAATTTTAGCACCCCATTCTTTTACAGTGCTAATGAACTGTCTGAGTAATCCATGGATCTCACCAGTTTAGCTGCTTTTTCGGAGCAGCCAGTCTTGACTTGGTGGATACCCTGCTGCAGTGATGCCTGCTCCTGCTTGTAACCATTCATTGTACTTCCTAGCTCATCAACCTTGGCTGACATCTACATCATATCAAAAAAAGGGTCACTGTTAAAATTCAAATAAACCGAATCAGGGTTTGGGTAAAGCCACAAAAAGATTCCTTTCCTGACCCACATGAAATGCTGTCCTTTTTTCAGTAACACAATGTAACAAAAAGTCGATGTAGATGCCCAACAGTGGAATGGCAACTATTTATATTTTAGGCCTTTGTGGTTTTTCACTTTGTGGTTTTTCATTTTTCACATACAGTGAGTATGCATTAAAAGACAAAAGACATCTTGCCACCACTTATCCACAAAATACCTCAAATAAATGATCCGGTAAATGAATGGATGACATTAATGAATGCTTCCAATAACTGAGGATTGGGGCTAACCGTAACAGTCCCAAATCCTCGAATTTCGATATGGTTTTTACATACACCCTAGGAGGTTAGGGCTAATGAAAAGCTGTGCTTTAATTTGCAAAGGATTGTTTTTGGAACTTGCAAAGAAAGTCGCAGATACCAAACAAAGCTTATTACCACTTTTATTTAGGTATTTGGTTATTTGTCAAAGTTCTTAAGCAGCATCTAGATTACTGCAGGCTAGGGTTATGTGCAAGTTTGGAGAACTGGCCCACTTGGTCGGCGATTGCAGACTCTGTATTTATTTATTTTTCTGAATGGCCAATACCTCTTTGATGAGGACCTCTTTCTCAGCCCGGTTTGCCTTGATGGTGTTTATCTGAGTCTTAAGTTCATCAATTCGTCGTAGATAATGGTTATGTTGCTCCTTCACACTGTCCTGTAAATGATCAACGAGAGGCTTCAATCAATGTAGCTTTAAACAAATCATGTGCCGGGAACCAGTTGCAAGCATTACACACTGCATGACATTTTGACTGGTAACCGGTTACTTTTTCATTCAACACTTTACCATTACACCGACGTTTGTATTCACCGTTTTGACTTTATGCTTGAGATATTTTCACAACTATTGGACCACACTGAGAATAGTGTGTAAATATCAATGTCAGTAGTGTTAGGATAAAACCCATTATAAATTTGACACTTCCCCCAACCAAGTTAAAAATAAAATCAGTAATCTGTTTCTTTGCCAATTTTCTGCACTCAACAAAATGCTCTTTAGCATCTCAATAACATTGGCCACAGGTGAAAAAACAGAACTTGCTCACAGATAATTCTATGATTTAAAACTTCTATGGTTTCTAAAACTGTTCTCCATGTTTTGTGCAACACCCCTTGTGGCAACCACCAACGTACCACGTCAGCTTGGATTCTCTCGTATGTCTCCATGCGCGCTATCTTGAAGCGGCAAAAGTTGATGATGGCACTGATCATGCGCACAGTTCGTTTCGGCTCTGGGTACAAAACAGATTATAGAAAAAGGACTTCATTCAAATTATTTTTAAACATCTCTCCATAGACAACAAATTCAAAATAAAAAAACAGCTGAAGAGCTCATCTTGCTGAATACACAGCTTGAAAACTTGTTTGGTGGGAAGAGTTCCAGCCCTAGGATTCAGATACTGCCAACAAATTAATGGATATTTGAAAAAAAAGAAGAAAAGGACTAATCTAAAATTACTACATGTAGAATTTTAAAAATTGAATTGAGTGCAGGCCCAAATCAGTGCCAAGTCAGCTACGTCTCTACAAGTCCATGTGAAGTCATTCAGTCACAAGTCACAACGCCACGCGCTATGCAAATGAACTTTGACAAATAACATACCTTTGTCATTATTCATACTGTTACTTGTGACTCGTCTTATAAAATCATCTATGCATGAAATCTAAAAGGATTTGGATTATTTGGACTCCAATAATGTTTGAAATAATGACAAATTTTAAGGAACTGCTTTAAGTGAAACTCACTTGGGCTACTGAGGTCCTTCAGCTTAAAGTCATTCACATCGCAGGCTGCCATGAAGCGTGTCCTATGAGGATAAGAAGAACAGAATCAACAACAGAACTCACTTAGTAAATCTGGCACGAGCCTTTATGACCCATTAGGCCAGTGTTTATCTCTGTTTTCCTTGGCTAGCCTTGGCCCACAACTGGATTTGCATCATTTTGACTTTGTACACCATAGCACATGAGAGTGTGTGCTGACGAAATGTTCTGGATTTCGGGAACAGTTTGTCTCTTATGGATTGGCGCCCTCTACCGTTACCGCAACTTGGCTGTGCTTGCCAGAAATTCACCTGCATGGTGTACAGAGACAAAACAATGCCAATCCAGGTTTGGGCTGAGATTATTCCTTGACATGGAAAAAGAGAACCTATATCTATTCCCCTCTGGATGGGATGCCAGACGGTGGCACACTGCTCCCCAGCTCATGCTAACACCCATTACTACCCCTGGGTATAGAGGGGCAAGTTGGGGGTGAAGTGGCCTGCCCAAGGCTACAATCTCCAACCAATAGCTGCATTGGAACCAACGATTTTCTTATCAAGAGTCAGGAACCTTAAACCTGTAGGCCACCCCCCTCAAAAGAGAGAAATACAAAACTGAATTCCCACGGTCTGTCCAACTGACACTCACTTAAGACCAATGAAATTTAACTGGTCTCCCTTATTTCTCTACCCACTTGGAGAAACTGCAACACTTATGCAACTGCAAATGAGAAAAATGAAGCAGGGCTTTGATTTTACCAGGAGGAATATTTCAAAGGCAAACTGACCTTTAGAGCTAAAAATTGTTTATATATTCAAATCATTAAAAATGTTTCTTCCAATCTGATGTGTCGACTTGACAAATTTCTGAATTTAAAATTAACTGGTACGAATTGACTGTAAGGTGTGGACAGGGACTTAAAATCAACTAGAAAAATATCCTGTGCTTACATGCCCATGGCTAAGTTGACTAGTGAGATATTCTCCTCAAAGAATTCCGGGTATGAAAGCTGTTGCACCGCCTCAAAGTGAGGCTGGATGATTTTCTCCTGTCGAATTCCCATCACCGTCTCCAGGATCATGCGGTAGATCATTTGCACACGATGCGGCTGAGAAAAAGGATTGAAGTCATCCGTTTGAAACACTTACTTCAATTTACACTTACAATTAAAATTACTTTATTTCTCAGGAATCATAACAACAAATATGAAAATTTGAAAAATAGTAAAAACATCTGAGACAAATATCAACATCCTGGAAGATGGCACAGAAATACAAGGAAAACCAAATAGCTTCCAAAGAATCGCCCACAAGAAACAAGTTTCTCTCTAGGGGCTCTCCTAATGAATAGGCTCGCCATAACTTAAACTAACTTTGTTATATGTACATACACAAATATAAAACACTCAACAACTAACCAAACAATGACATTGAAACAAAACAAAGTAAAATTTAAAAAAATGACAAAGCAATTTGACGAGAACGGCAAAACATGCAAACAATAGTTGTTATACCTCTGTCTTGAATACTTTATTTCCATTGGCCCATGCACAATCACATGACCCATCAATCAGAATGCATATTTAATACCTTAATGTTTGTGTATATCACACTGTGATATTATACATATAGTATATGGACTGGCAATGAGGTCACTAGTGTATGACTATGTGCCTGGATGGCCTGTGGGTAATCTATTTACTTGTACAATAGTTCAAACATAGGCAGTTTCATGGTATCTTGTTTCATGGTGCAAAACGAACACGCGCGGCTGAGTACGCATGTCAATCAAAAAACTTCTGAGTCATCATGCATTCATTCAAATATGCGCTTGGGTCTAGAAACATGCGTTCTTTTCTGTCCTGTGGACAAGATGGCACTTACATGTACATCTGTCACCACAAAACAGATTAGTCTACCATGTACAATAAATCAACTGCAAATTTTTTGTAGCCTACTTTCAATGTGGACATCAAGTTAATGAATGCTTCAAAATCTTATCAGGCATGTCAGATAGTATTGTCATGATTGTATGCTTGAAACTAGTCCAGAGTGGTGTGGCATCATTTTTGGAAAGAGTTCCATACATGGACAACACTTGAGGCCCTGTGCAGAAACCTATGACACTTGTCTGAAAAAAACTAGCGTTTTCTAAGTAGGAATTTTTGTGGCTAAATTTCACTTTTTAGGACATGTTACCAATTTCTGATGGCTGTTATAACATTTTAAGGGAAAATTAGTGTTGTCCATATATGGAACTCTATCCCATTTTTGTCACGAACATTTAGGCCTACTGCATGTACAGACTACAGAGGGAACCAGCACTTAGAGAGTGGCCCATACACAAAGCAAGCAAACTCCAATGACTTCCAATGTTTCCTCAATGCACTGAACTCCCATGACTACTGCATAGGTTTTTTTTTCCCTACCTGCGGGTTCTTGAAGTCCTCTTCGGTGATGTTGAGGTCATCAAGCTGTAACTCCACTCTTAACCAATTTATCAACTCATCAATAGGAAGAATCGGGAAGCGAAAGGTTGAAGTCATCTTCAATCTGCACTGCCTGTGTTTTTGTAAACTGACAAATATGAAGGTCACAATGGTACAATTAAAGATCAACATTTATACAAAAATAAATTATGAAAACCTTGCTGTATACCGTTGGTGTCAATGTGCAGTGCAGACCAATAGGCCTACATGCATGACATGGCACGATTGTCTACAACAACATTGAATGAACCAGACAACTTAAAACATGTGCATTATGCATAGCCTACGTGTACATCACAGACATATAACCGTCAGTCTTGCGCACTAGTTACATTGTTGGCATTTGTTCACATGTGCTCCCAAAATATGTTCACTTTTTTTCTCTTCAGCACTGCTATATCTTATTTTCGAATTTTGGAAACGCATCGTTTTGAATCTACATCATGGGCCAGATTGAGTAAACAACGTTAGGGCCCTACAGCCTACAGGGTTTTTTCACAATCTCAAAACGGCTTCATCATGTTCATGGAATTTTTGGGCTAGAATTCTTTAACTGTGCAGTGTGCACAAATATAAGTCCCAATGCTGAGGGGTGAATTTTCCTATAGTTTTGAGTTTAGTTTAGCAGATCACAAAATACTCCTGTAGTTTTTAATAGGATCTGGTGGTCTATGCAAATTGCGATTATGTCTGTGGTGTACATGTGGCTAGGCCTACAATGAACATGATGAAAATACGACGAGATTCCATTTGCCCGTGCGGAGGCATTTTCATGACTTTTTTCGTAAAACTGACCAGGACCTAATATCTATTTATCAAAATGGCTCGGAGGGGTAAAGAGACAAATAAATTAGTTGAACTCGTTTCTGTCACGAGACAAAATAGTGGCCCTTTTGTGTTTTTTAAAAGGGGTTAACTCACCGATTTCCTCGTCACTTTTTCGTATTTACCGGTCATTAACAGTCCTGGCGCTTGAGGGCGCACTTCCTTTATTGCCATCCGACAACCTGGCGCAGTCGTTATTATATTGCGCAGGTCTTACCATGGAGGTGGGAACCTCCATGGTCTTAGGACGTAAAAGCCACAAGGGAACGGTTCAGTGTTTTACTGATGCAGGAAGCTATTCTAGTTAAGTATAAAATTGGGTGTTTTTGCTGGAGGTAGGGTCCAGTCGATATGTTTCATTCAAGTGAGAGATCAAAATTTTAAGTAAAAGAGAACAAAAGGTGGGAAAATTAGAAAGTAAGAGGTGGGGGTGGAATTTATATATATATAATGGATGGAGGAATCGAGAAAAGGCTCAGAGAATATTGTGAAAACGCGAGACAGGCTTAGGAAGATGGGCCATCCTTTTTAAAAGTCCAAATGCAGTGAAATGGCTAACTTAAACGGGGGTATTTATGGATGGATACGTAACAGGGTGTGTAGGGAAGCAGTTGAACAGCAGATACTGCCATCGATCGACAGAGACGTTGGTCGCATAGTAGGGGCGGATCTAGCCTTCGGGAAAATGAGGGGGTTGATATTATCGGGGACGAAAGTAAAACATGCCGATGGCAAGCCCATGTACCCTGGGGAGGGGACAGAAGTTTCAGCGGCTCAGCCCCTCTACCCGGTTCCCGGAAAATACTTCAACTCATACTCTAACAAAAAATAATGATGCAGTGTAGGCAGGTTTTTTTCCCTATGGGCTGCAGGGTGCGTTAGCCCAAGTAATAATGTTACTAAAAATTACTAAAAATGATTGAGATTTGGAGTTTTTCGTGGGAGAAGGTAGCAAGTTAAGTGGTACGTTTGTGGTAGCACCATGTGAAATGCTACCGTGAGAATTCCCTCCAGATATTTCATATTAAACAGTTTATAAAAGTTTAACAATTTAATTGGAGATTGCATATTGTAATTGTTGGACATCAAAGGTCCTTCTAATCGTTAAAAATAGCCTTTCTACCCCCGGTAACAAACTGCGCTTCCCTATAATGGTGGGTTATGGCCCTGGAGTACTTTCTCACTAATGCTAATGGTCGGGGCTTTTGCCTTCCAGTTATTAAATGTCCCATTTACAGATTCAAGGTTGCATCACAGTACATTTTGTGCATCCATTATGTTTGACAAAAATGAGATTTTAAGAGAGCGGCAACGTCCAAATCGCTCAGAGAGGACTTAATTGGGAGAAATAAAGCAGCTCATTAAACAATGTACCCATTTAGCATTGAAAACAATTTAAAGTTTCTTTACATGTACAGTAGTCTGCCAGCGCAGGCGCCAGTTACATACTGCAAAGTGTAAAGTTTTGACTATAAATGACTGTCATTAATATGTTAAGGAGAAATGACGGAAAAATGGAGATTCTTTGATTCGAATGGACGAGGACGCGAAGCTAATCTAGCCCCAATTATCACTGCATATTTCGTGATTATTGTTCAATAAATCATCACCACATTTGCTGTGCCGACAATCCTGTTGTCAAGGTGTATTCCTTGCATGTTCAATTGTGTTCATAGAGAGTAATCCATCGGCGGTACATTTCCTCCAACACGGACCTGCTCCCTTGCCTATAGCTTGGCTCTGGGAACATCAGCTACACTCCAACGGGTTTTAGACTAGTTCCAACAAACTTAAAGTTTTGGCCTGGGAAGATCCCCGCCACCGACTCCCAGCAACAGAAAAAAGGAGGGCAGGGTTTTACGGAGGTGACAAAACCTAAGTAAGTGTGAATATTTCGTTTCGGTATTGAGGTGTTACAAATGGTTCAATATTTTTACGAGGACCAATTTCAGCGCATAATCTTAGTTACGGTGGACCAAGTTTTGTGTTTATAAGTAAAGTTAAAAAAAAGATGGCCTCTAAGTTCAGGCGTGGGTGCCATTCGAAGAAAGGGTACTGGACGACATTAGAGGGACAGGTTCGCAATAGTGGTTACCATTAGCTGATTTCCTTTGTAAGCATAAAAAGTTTGCCCTTTAAAATAAATCTACGAGATGTCATTGACCATGAGTTGCAACCAACGGTAATATGTGATATTTCAAAAACAGTTTAACCAGGGTCATTCGAATGTAAATGGTACCCCCGGTACTGCACGTACGCATGATGAAAAAAATATAAAAAAAAATAAAAGTGGAAAACTTTCGTTCGCACCCCAACTTTTCTATGGCTGCAATCGGCAGTAAATTGTCACGAATGGCAACGGTAGATTTCTTGACTTCAAAACAATAAAGAAAAATCCATCTTGAGGATCGGCTACTCCGTCAAAGCAGCGTCTCAAGAAATTATGGTGTGTGGTGGATGGGAGGCAGCGAGAAGCACTTTCAGAGATGGGATAAAAACCCCAGGGTAAAACTCAACGGAATCAAGTACGGGCTAAAAACCCAATTTATATGCACTTAGACGAGCCGGGAATCGAACTTACTCCGCAGGGGTGAAAGGCGAAGAAAAAGAGTCACTGTCTTGAAACGTCTTTGAGACATACACGCAATTCGTTCAGTTCTGCTGTGTAGTTTTTAAGTGGAGAAATTTGTTTCCGAAGATGATATCACAATGTAAGTAGAACCAAAATCCACGCTTATGGCAAAAATCATCTCGGAAAGCGTTTTGAAGACCCGTTTTCATCCATTCATTTCACAGAAATACAAGCTCACAATCTTACATGCAATCTAATTACTTCCTGCAATGAGAATAAAAGATAAAGGGTAAAAGCGTAATAATGATCAGACCTGCAGCCACACATGCACACACTGTTTCTTTTAGCTGATAATGATTTCTAAAAAGGCATTCAAGTTATATTTTATCACTCTTTTTTAGTATTAACCAGTACCGGCGAGTGACAGTCACAAAACATGTCAAAGATGTTCTCATCTACGTCCCATCATCGTGGGAACTTCGCAGGTTTTCAAACTGCCAAAGTCCTTTGACAATTGAGGTGACAGTACAATGACTCTGCGTGACTATAACTTTGATTTTAATAAAAGTATTGAAGCACAAAATACATGATGGTTAATATATATATTTCAATAAAAGTCACTGTGTCATTCAGAGGCAATCCACGACTATCGTGACGTTAAAACGTTGCGATTTGCTCATACATTATTATAAGGCCAAAGCCATGACCTTTAACCTCGTCTGGTTGATTGTTTCTTGAGATCGAGTAAAATGGGTACCGGTAACGCCGCAGAAGGTCGAATTAAAAAAAAATCCTGACGAAAAGGCGGCTGTGCTGGATGTTTCCAATAGAAGCAAAACACAAGACGAAGAGAATTAAAGAATAAAGTAAACAGTTTGTGCCAAATCTCGCACGCTACACAAAATACAAATTTGTAAAAATAATTGTAAACGAAATAGGAGATACAATGGATAACATCGGTAAAGGCTGATAACTTAAGACCAACTTAGACATGAGCATTAATTTTGCATCTAGGGAAATACTTTACAGCAGTGAAATACAGAAGGGCTGCGTAGCCAATCCCATATTTCAGAGCACTGATTTGATATTATATTCTTGTCGATATTTGACAGCAGTATCTGGTTCGTAAGTGACTTCGTCACAAAGGCAGACGCGTCACGATTTGCAAGCTCCCATTGGACGATCGCTGAAATTGAGCGTTAACTTCCGGTTCCATGGTCCTATGTAAACGGCGATCAATACTGCATGTAACTCTAGGTGCAGTGCATGTGCAGTGGGCGCGGTTTCAACTGAAGTGACGTCACACTTACGAACCGGATAGATAACACTGAACTTTTACTCTTTGATCAAATCATTAATTACGGCTACAAAACAAGTGTTGTCGTGCAGTGCATAAATTTGAACCATTTGTACCGGATGTTGGAGGAGAACGAGGAAAGGTGGGGCAGTGTGTGTGTGTGTGTGGGGATAACTTGCCCAGTCATGAAAGTCATAACGCCAGGGGGGGGGGTTTACACCACGTGACTATATAGAGGTCGATGCTCGTGATGTTGATGTGCTTTTATAATTTGTGTTCAGAATGGCGTATTGTTGACTTTTTTTAAAAATGATTTCCCTGTTTTGCGTGATATTTTATGCATTTTAGTTGTTAGGAGTCTGAGAAATTCTTCACGATCCGCTTTATTTTTTTTGCTCACCCCGAAAACTAGGGGAATGATTTAATAGCCATCCCCCCTCTAAAAAAGGTGTGCCTGTGTGTGTGTGTGTGGGGGGGGGGATATATATGTAACCCCCATCTGCCGGGATTCACGCCCATGTTGTGTCTCCATCAGCCAAACGCTACAGCCAATATCACCTCTAACACTTAAGCCTCAAGCTTAAGATTCCCTACTCTCCCCCTCCTGCAACGGTGGAAAAATGAGACCTACACACCAGCCGGTCTTCAAGAATTTTATCAATGGAAGGAAAAGAACTGACTTGCACCTCCCAACAATCCGAAAGTGGATATGACCCAGTTGGTTGTATGTCTGAGCCCTCTAACCTGACGATTCTTTTTTCCTGCACGTCTTTGTAATCCAACCAAACTTAAATCCCCGGAAAGAGGGGCTGAACGGCAGGTAACGGCAACAAGCCCAACGCCGAACGAGCGGCATAACCAAGGGTAAGTCGTAACTGGCTGGCAAAGCAGTTTGCGTCGGTGGGGTTTTTATCGGGACGTCCGCCAGCAGGTCATCGGGAGCCTTCATCTCGCTCAGCTCAAAATATTGATCTTCACAACCACCTTCTACATCGTTGCCTGTTTCTTGCGCGGCTCCTTCTTCCTCATCCCTGGCGTCACCGGTGACATGTTTTCGCCAGGACCGAATTCCTCGTTCTTTGTCGGTGCCTGCATGGGTAGCAATCGGTATTAAACGAATGGCCGTCAAAATCTTTTGATCGTTGATTAAGATTTCTTTTTAATTCCTCCTCTCCCACGAATTAGGCCTAGATATCAAAAACATATCATTACCGTACCCTCGAATGGTAACTTACCCGGTATGGTATTGTCCAGAAGAATTGCTAGGAATCCGCCGACAAACATACCCGTGGTGAGCATAACCGAAATTATTTGATCTAATTCGGCAGAACCTGCAGAAGTTGAGCACAGTTACACTTTATCAAGCTCTAGAACGAACTCAAAACGATTTCTAAATTCTAGTCGGCAATAAACTTGATGAAAACTGTGGTATGTATGAAACCAAAGACCATGAAATAACTTGCATAAGGCAATACATGTATTTAACAAATGCCTCGATATACCAAGCAGTGTGGAGTGCTAAAAACGATCATCACAATTACTGTGCTCTTGTTTTGAACGTGAAAGTTGTTACCGGTCTTCAGTAGGCCTGGATTCTGCTCGAGATAGTACGGCACCACAAGGCCCATCAGGGTAGAAAAGCCCAGAACGAAGAGGTTACGGGATGAGTTGAGGTCCACAAACTGGAGGTTGGACAACCCTACTGCTGTTACCATACCTTAAAAATAAAAGTTATTTTTGTTATTATTATACCTTAAATAAAGATGTCAATCGAAATGATTGCAAAGACATTCAATCATTGCTATACTCCAAGTCTTGATCCTGTAAAACAGTTCAGTTTTATTTCGCACTTTCTGGGTGTCGTTAACTCGAAAAAAAAAGACTTTTTGCACTAGAAAAAAGAAATCTGGAAAAGCTCACCGAAGGTGATACAAAGGACGCCACCAACGATTGGTTCTGGCATACTGGCAAACAAAGCACCAAACTTTCCAAGAAGTCCGGTAAGCATCATAATACAGCCTGCCACCTGGACAACTACTCGACTGCCGACCTGGTGATAACCACGGATTAATAATAGGTTATATGCTGAACTGGAAAATTCCAGTGATGTGGTTTGAGGAGCAGTGCATGTCGTTTGCAACGTCAAAAATTGCCCTTGTAGACCTATCAAGTTCTTGAAAAGACCAAAAGAACATAAAAGAGAAAGAAACGAGGTTTTAAACACATCAACGTACTTTTGTGAGTCCTATTGCCCCGATGTTCTCACTGTGTGACGTAGTTCCGTTTCCGGATCCCCAGGCCCCGGCCAGTATGCACCCAATGCCCTCCAACAACACACCCCGATTGATAGCATGCTGGGGAGGGGGTGGGGCACCAGACAGTCTGGCGCAAGCATAGTAGTCACCAATGGACTCGACGATGGAAGCAAACACGCCGGCTGTGATGCCAAGAACACTGGACACGGTCACGGTGGGTGTGCCCCATTGACCTGTTTATAGCAACAAACACTTCCAGCTCTTAAAAATGCGTGGGATTTAATTTACCGGGCCGCATGGTACTCCTCATTTTCTGGATGAGAAACATAGTAAATTTGAGTACTGTATCAAAAAGTACAAATTAAATTTCTGTTTACTATTCTGAGCCGGCTATGATAGTTTTGCATACTATTACTTTCAACATGTAGGCCTACAGGAAAAACTCTTGATACATGTAATCGATGCAGACCTGTAGATTCGGGCTGCTTGACACATTGGATCACTATTGTTCCTATCATAATTTCGACAGTTAATGTTTTGATACACGATTAGTTCTGATAGGTTAGCCATAACGTGGAGCCGATTTGTAAGGCCAGCACTCTTTTTACTTCACTGGATTACTAACATGGCGTGAAAATTTCCAGTGTCGGAGGGCGAAATAATAAATCACTCGTCAGCGCCATTACCCTCCGCAACTAACTTATCGAGGGTTGGGAAGGGAACACAGTTAAATGTACTCAATTTTTTTTTAGACTAAACAGGAAAAAATAATGTCAATTTTTTTTCTTTTTTGTCCAAAAAATTGTATTTTTCGGAGACGGCGGGTTCGAAATCTAAGTAATCAAACCGTTGGCCTGACCTAAATGATATGTTTACATTAACGATCGCTCTTTTACCTGGATACGGGAAGCGAAACCAAGGCGCGCGGTCCAGCACCATGCTGTTCAGATCGGTTCGAGCGGCGTACCCGTACACACTGGGGTCGTCGGGGAACACACCGGTGGCGGTGAATATGAAGCAAAACAGCCAGGCAAGAGCAACAGCCAGAATTATCTTTGAAAAGATGTCAACAAGCGAGTGGCTGTCACATTGAGTAGTAACAACGCTGTCTTTTGTAACTTGGAAACGGGTAAGTAAAACCATGCAGGCACAAGATAGGCTTCGTTGTTTCAAACATGTCACCGTCTTTTCGTGGGCTTTTGGCAGCTAACGAACGTTCATATCTAAGACGTGGATGGATACAGCCAAAGATGATTTTTTCCTAATTATTAAAATGTAAAGGAGAGGCCTAAAAATTGATTTGGTACACAAAGCTGGCTTGATTTAATTTTTTTCCCATTGCTCTGAAACTATCACGGTAAAATAACCCTGGTTAAGTGTACCAGTCACTTTACGTGCCACCAGAATGAAGCGTATTTCCACCCTCTTTTCGGTATTGATCGGACTACGGTGTTCGTAGGTGTTGATTTGGCCCTGTACCCAGTGAAGAGTGCAATTTCTCACCGGAAACAGTTTAAAGAGGTTGAATCTAGTCATGTGACACTTCTTCCGGGAATTGTAGCTCAAAACTGGTATGCCAATCTCGGGCAGATATTGCGAGAATAGAATGATAAACACCATGGTCCTAAAATGTAAAAAAGATAATTGGATATGGTTAAGGGTAAAAGAATAACATAGCAATGCATGTATATAATATTTTGGGGAAAATATCAATAATGATAAGTGATAATCATAAAAATCGAACCGTCTAACTTTGACTGTGCTTAACAACTAGTAACCTACATGACGGCAATGCCCCAGTGTTTGCCTGCCTTATCCGCGGCCGCCTGGTGAAGCGACAGACCAATCAGTGTGATGGTGGATGTGACAGCGAGGGGACCGATGAAGTTCAGCATAATACCAACGATGCCTGTCGCGCCAATTACGACTTGGATGCATGAAGCCACCATGATGGCGCCCTGGATCTGCGAAATTCAGAGCCGTGCAACATACATATTAAGTGTCATCATTGTTGGAAACAAAAGTGGCAGGTGTATGCGCCAGTGCATGCATCAAGCAGTAATTTGAAGTAGACCAACACCGGCGAAACAAAGACAGGCTGGTGAGAAGTTTTCTAACTAGGTTCCTGCACGCATTCGGCACACGCACGAAGACCATACATTCCTGCATAATTTCGTTGCATGTACTCAGCGTGCCCCGCGCCAAACTTGCACGCCTATGAGGTGAATCCGATTTGTTAACTTCCGGTTCCATGTAAACGGCGATCAATGCACGTAACTCTATGTGCAGTGCATGTGCAGTGGGCGTGGTTTGAACAGAAGTGACGTCACACTTACGAACTGCATACCAAAAAACCGCCATTTTCATTCCAAACACTCCCTCTTTTGTTTCCACTCGGAGCAGTAATGCCACTTTCTCTATATACAACTCTGGCGAAATTCCACCTGCTCCGCGAGGAAAAAACAATGCAAAACGACAGCATAAACTTGAACTGCGTTTAGCATCATGTAGACTTTGGACCAATTAATATTGCACTATTGGCTTACAACTTTTCTGGAAACGTCAGAGAAAAAAGGTGAGAACCCCAAAGTACACACTGTTTTCCTACCTGTTGCTGTGAGAGGTTGTGTCAGAAACATGTTCCATAGTTATGGCTATGGCTGCTGTCAGCATGTGTTTGTAACCTGCATAGACATGGTCAAGCTCCAAACACAAAACATTCGGACGCGACTTCACTTTTATCAAGCACACGACGATGCCAAATTGACAAGTAATGAGAAATAATGATTTCAACAAAAAAAAACGAGAACCGATTAAGAGATTTGCCCACCGCTCACCTTTTACTGCCTCTTTTATTAATTCCTACCTCTCTGATTCTTGCTAGCCATTCTTCTTCGGCTGCTTCTGTCTCTTCCATTGTGGAATTATCTGCAGGTAGTGAAAACTCGTATTGATGTGACGCTGAAACTGTAAAGAATGCAGGAGCAAAGCCACGCAACACAGCTTTGGGCTACGAGATTGCACTGAACACAGTTTGGCACACAATCTTGTGGGAGGCATCGACATACCGTATGGTATGCTATGGCGTATGGTGTGGCGTATAGTACGGCGAGGTGCGGGGCGGCGTGGCATGCAGGCAGGCATGCATGGTACGGTACGGAATGGGATGATATGGTCTGGTTTTGTCTATAGTGTCAGTGGACTGTGGGTGGGTCGGTGAATCGCAGGTTGGGTGGTGTGTAGGTAATCAGGCAGATGCTGGAAGTCGGGGAGACATATCCTACCTGTGGGCGCCGGGGGACACTCTCCTCGTAGGTTCAGAATGGAAAATGTCGGGACGAGGAAAGCGAAAGTTGTTCCCTGGATGATAGGGAGTCTGGTCAGTAGGAACAGAACATTGCTTTATGAAATTATTAACACAAGAATTGACGTTTGTAATGCATGTAACTCGAAACAATAGGCCTAATATCATTGCCAACGTCTACCGTACAGAGTAAACTTAACACTTTTGAATTTAAAAGCCGGCTCTGACTTCCGGCTTGGTGGCTGCGCTGGTCAGTAGAAGAGTGACCGGGGGTTAAGTGGTTGTTTGGGGATTAAGCCTGTCTTTATAAGCCCATCTGCAACATCACTGGTATATGAATGGCAAAACGACTAAAATATAGCCCTAGGTATATCATTGGAAAAAGCTTCGGCTTTGCCACTGCCTTCAAAAATGCTTGGTTTGTAGTTCAATTACTATTTTGTAACTTCAGTGATGACAGCAGCGACGTAGCCGGGGGGGGGGGGGCTGGGGGAACGTGCCCCCCACAAATCCTCAATGCCCCCAGGTACCCCCCACTTGAGAAAACGGACGAATGGATATTGAACAAGGCTAACAAAAACTTGCCCCTTAAAACCACACAAAGCTGGTGCCCCCCTAGGATGCTGGTGCCCCTTTGTGCCCCCCGTTAGTAAAATCCTAGCTGCGCTACTGGATGACAGGATAACCATGTAAAGAACTTTGAAATGTTCTGAAGACTAAAATTCACCATCAGTGGTGTTGAATACCAGTGGCGTAGTCGGAGTCCTGGGGGCGAATTCCTCTACCCTCATAAAGAACTTCCCCCAGTCGCTCCCAATGTAAAGTGTACAAATCCTAAATTTTATTTAATAATGTCATATAATAACATCTAAATGTTCAATGTACTCCCTTTTAAACTGTGTCATAACTCGTACCTTACCCCAAGGGTGGTCTGCAAGATGGTCACCATACCGGTAACGAAAAACAGGGTACCAATGATCTTTGCCATGGTAACGGGATCGTGAGAAACGCAGAGATATGGAGCCAGAATGAACGCTGTGGAAACGTTGCTGCCGAAATTCGTCGTGAAATGCTGCGAATTGAGAAATACAAAATTTAAAAGCGGTGGCTGGAAAAGGGGGCGTGGTTCTCTCGAGGGGACTTAACGGCAGTAGTCTAACAAACCATTCAAGATTTGAAGTGACATTGAAGTGGCACTAGTTTGTGGTATTTTATTGAAAAGTGGCAAGTTTATCATCCATTTTTTTCATTTCTTTTGTTTTT